TTGCATTTTTGCTGGGCGTTTTGTATATTTCATATGTGCCACTAAGTTAAAACCTCCCAAATTATGCTCAGCTAAGTCTTCTGAGTAAAATGACACCCCATATGAATGTCTTTGGCACTATTTCGTGAAGCTACAGTGCCATATAGGAGACCAAGCCATATCTGTTTTTACCAGACTTTGAATTTTGCAAATGTGCAATTTCCAAGCATCTTCGCAGGTTTTAAATTCAAACTACCCCACAAAGGCCTACCATTTCTTTTTTTTTTTTAATTCTTTATTTTATTTGTGCATAGCTTGAACAATCATGTTTGTACCGCCACAATAGCAGGTGCAAGCAGGTTTGAAAACATACATTAACATAGGTATGGCATTGTAATACATAGCACAGTTTTTTTTTTATATATTCAAGATAGGAGACATGTTAAAGGTTAAACCATGGATCATAGTTACACAAAAGAAATCTGCTTGTCTCAGAGTTTAGTAATGTGTTATAATGATTTATCTCACAGCCTAGGGACTAACATGCTAGCTGAAAACTACTAAGGCTTGCTTGGTACATATGGTAACATCGCTGCTCTGTCTAAACTTAGAATTGGCATGCAGTGTCACGAGCTACCAGAATGTATACATGCAGTATAATCCTATTTACATTTTAATCTATGAATGACACACTCTTTTGCAGGCTAGTCTCGCTTAGCTGTTAGGTTACTTATATTGGACCTGCGCTTCACTGCCTTATAGCAGGCTTGAAAGATGAAACAAAGGCAAAAACTTAAAGCATAGTTATAGTAAATTAGGTGAGGAAGACAACTATGCTAGGCAATATGGCACGGTTGGCGTTTGCTTAAAATATAAAAAGAAAAATTATGCCACTGTGCTTAACAAAGAACCCTGGGTTCCGAACAGAGACTTCTCTCCCCGAGAAGAGGGGAACTTGATTTTGATGGTTGTTGGTCAGGTGGCAGAGAGTAGGCAGCCCCAGTCCTCATGCAGAGAACAGCCAACTCCCATCACTGGCAGGTCGCAGTTCTGTATTTTCCAGCTCTGTTCGAATAAAGATGCTTTGGTGTGGCTTGTCAGGTAGTGTCAGACGGTTGCGGGTGGGAGCTGGGTATGTGTGAGGTCTTCACACTGATCCTCGGCTGTCGTGATAGTCTGAATACCCCTGTCTCCGCTTGCCGGTCAGATGGTCTTTGCTCAAGGTCCTCGGTGTCGATTGGAGCACCCCAGGTCGGGATACAGGATAGGTAGGTTGCTTTACCGATTTCTCCCTGTGTTGCCCGTAGTGAGCGCCAAGAGCCCCAAGGAGGGGCCGCCCTCTCCACAGCGTGCCTTTCAGGCTCAGCCGCCATCTTAGGTTGCAAACAAAGTCCCCGTTCGAGGTAGTTCCCCAGGGTAGGCCGGGATAACCCCCACCGGCCCAGAGGGGGGGAAGCAGGGCCATCACCCCATTGTGTTAGGGGACCTCCGTGATGCAGCCAGGTAGGATAGCAGGGCAGCGGCCGTCCACCCCACTCACCACCCGGATAGGTTGGCTAGGCCTCGGTCTCGAAACTCCGTTTTCGCGCCAAACACGGGTCCAGAAGCGGGTTGCCGATTGATCTCCGGTCCTAGCACCTCATAGTGCAGTTGCCTGCCGTGACTCAGTGCCAGAAAGTGCGTTTTGGGGCCATATTTTGCCCGAAAATAGCGGGAGCTCTAGTGTCATGCGTCCACTCTGCTCGGCGGTCCGGCCCCGCCCCCCAGGCCTACCATTTCTTAAAGTAGACACCCCAGGGTGTTTCAAAAGATATATTTTGAACCTTAGCGTGGGATCATTTTTCCACTAGCTTGTACCAGATGTAGTGGTAATAAGCGTTTTTTCTGCCTTTTTGACATACAAAGTGAGTTTGCACAGTATATTTTGCAAACCTTATGTGTGCTACAACTGTATAATACTTCATATGTTGCTCAGCTATGTCGACTGAGTACAGCAATACCCCCGTATGTACCTTTGCCAGGTATGTGTGGACATCGGAGGGGCACATTTGGGACACAGCCATTCCAGTTTTTTTTCAAACTTTGAATTTTTATGCTGTGCCTATGTCCCATTTTAGAGTATTTTACCAGGCTATATAATCCAAATACCCCATAAAGCCATACCATTTCTTAAAGAAGACATCCCAGGGTATTTCAAAAGGCATATTTTGAACCTTAGCGTGGGATCATTTTTCCGCTAGCTTGTACCAAGTGTAGTGGTAATAAGCATTTTTTCTGCCTTTTTGACATACAAAGTGAGTTTGCGCAGCATATTTTGCAAACCTTATGTGTGCTATGACTGTATAATACTTCATATGTTGCTCAGCTATGTCGGCTGAGTACAGCAATACCCCCGTATGTACCTTTGCCAGGTATATGTGGATGTTGAAGGGGCGCATTTGAGACGCAGCCATTCAGTTTTTTTCTAACTTTGAAGTTTTATGCTGTGTCCATGTTCCAATTTGGAGTAATTTAGACGGTTGGTTATTGAAACTTCCCCACAAACACATACTATTTATTAAAGAATACACTCTGGGGTAATTCAAAAGGCATATTTTGAACCTTGGCGTGGGATAATTTTTTCTCTAGTTTGTTCCAGGTGTAGTGGTAATGAGCGTTTTTAAAATGTATTTTTTTACTTTTTTTTAAACTTTTTTACTTTTAAAAACTAGTTTTTAAACTTTTGTTTTGCTTATTAATTTTTTTTTAAACTTTCCTAAACTTTCTTACAAATTTAAAATTTTTCTAAGCTTTTTTTTTTACCGTTAACCCCTAACTAGCAGTAAGCAGCACTAACAGCAAATTCCCCATTTTCCCATAACTCCCACCCACCCCAGGTAGCAAAATATATAGTTATAAAATATTTAAATTAATTAAATAAATTTAACCCCTGAGGGTTAAAAAAAAGAATCAGATCATAGTAAAATGTAATCCCTGCCAATTGATCACTGTAGTCAGTGATCAATTGGCAGGGAAGGGGTTAATTTTTTATTAAAATGGGTAAAGGGGGTGGGACTTTAAATTAACTTGTTTTTTTTGTTTTTTACAGCAGGGGGGCAGGATCAGCACTGTTCCGGCTCCCTGCACTTCACACAGAACCAGGAAGGTGAGTATACAGAGCACATGTGCTGGGCAGCCTGACCGGGTGCTCCCGGTATGCCTCTAATGCAGAGGCATACCCGAGCACCATTAACCCCGCGATCGCTGCAATAGCGGCGATCCGGGGTTAATTTTACCGCGTGACAGACGAGGTCAGTCAGTCGTCATTAAGGGTCTCCCCTCTGTGACGGACCTCGTCCTTCACCCGTCCTTAAGGGGTTAAAGAGTTACTTATTTTTTAAACTTCACCATGACTGGTCTGCATTAATTGTACACAAAGATTAAGGAAAGCAAGTTGTGTTACTGCATAAGTCCATGGCAGTTTAAATGACCACTATGGGCACCCAGACCACTTCAGCTCAATGAAGTGGTCTGGGTGCCAGGTCCTCCTAGTTTTAACCCTGCAGCTGAAAACATAGCATTTTCAGAGAAACCGCTATGTTTACAGTGCATGGTTAATCCAGCCTCTAGTGGCTGTCTCCCTGACAGCCACTAGAGGCCGCGTCTACGATTTACACTGAGTAAAGCACACTTATTTGACGCTGGACGTCCTCGTGGAGTCCAGCGTTAAATAAGATTGCGCATGCGCATTAGGCTCCACTCGGGAGCTGGCGTTAGTGGGGGAGGAGAGGTCACCAGTGCAGAGAGAGCCCAGTGCTGGTTTAAGGTAAGTGGCTGAAGGGGGTTTAACCCCTTCAGCGCCGAGGGAGGGGGGGCATTCCAAGAGCCTATAGTGCCAGGAAAACGGGTTTGTTTTCCTGGCACTATAGGATCCATTTAAGGGTTACAGACCCTGTAAAATTTTGCAACCTAACATAAAACTTTACACCATTTTGGGATTCCCACATTATTGTGACAGGATGAACAGCAAAGATTACAAAATTGCTCATGTTTAAAAATGCAAAAAATCTTATCAGGAATGCAAGTTATACACTCACTAGCTATTTTCCAATCTTCACTTCAGATAGTTTCAGGTAAAAAGGCATACATTAATGATAACACAATAATATAATGCCTATGTATTTTGGACACTAAAGAGTTCTAAATATTTAGGCAGTGGATACACTCATTTACAAAGAGTTGGGCTCTGTCTCCATTTAAATGGAGCCTGGAAAGCCTCCTGTGTGGTGCGGTATTACAGCTTGGGTGACTAGAACTCCGTGTGACCTTTACTTGCAACATTTCCAGTACAATGTTTGGATTCGGCAATCCTGCAGACAAGAGCAATCGAAGACTGATTCAGAAACTCCTGCCCCAGCGAGTGGTAAGAACCTTGGTGTCAGACTGTGAGAGAATGAATAATTGCTGATGTTTACCTACAGAATGTAACATTATATCTTAATGGAGAGACAAGAACTGGCTTTAACAAATGAATATACAGTAAGTGAGCACCAGTAGCAGAGCTGCTCCTGCTTGATATTATGCACTGCTAATCACAGACACACAGCCTCCTGCTTCCTTTATAACACTGGCTGCTAATAAACTGATACCTCTAGTAATGTTATCATGGCTGGCTGTGCATGAGGGAAAAAGACTCAAGGGTACTGTGAAAGTCACCCCAAGGTGCAGTCAGTGTCTTAACCCTTGCCACAAGGGGTAAATGTTAAATGGCACAATATCAGAGTTATACAAGCATCCTATATCAGAGACATGAGATTCCAGAATACCAATAAAATAAATACCAATGCACAATTTGTAATAATAGACCGCAATGACATCAGATTCGGTTTGCTTATTGCAATGATTGCTTATTTTAAAGCAGGGGTTTCAAACTCCTGTAGGTAGGAATGGGGTAAAAAAAAAAAATACTTGGTGTAGTTATTTTATAATAATGTTCTCTTGTGAGTTTGACAGCATCGGTGGTAGTGCATGGGTGTATTTGTGTATGCAGTGACAGTACATGAGTATTTTGGTTTTACGTCTCATGACGTGCTTTGTGCGCCTTCCATGTTACAACCACTGAAAAAATCCATGCCAACTTTGCCTTACTAAGCTTCAAGTTAACATGCAAAATGAAACCCTGCACTCAAACTCCCACTACTCCTGGGCGGTAGCAATGACTGAAGTGCACATCAGCCCCAATATATAGAATAAAAGCCAAAACGTTACACGCACACTATCCCAAATCCCTATGCACATTTAGTTAACTGGAAGTTTTTTTTTTTTTTTTGTTTTTTTTAGTATCACTCCAATTGTCACTAGAGTGTAAGCTCAACCGCCAAGTCAAGAACACACCTCTAAGGTGAGTTATACAATAGCAATTTACCTGGCTGCTTTTAGGTAAAGGGCAAAATCTCTGAGACAGAAATTATTTTCTATACCCTTACACACTTTTTAACCCTTAATAGGGAACACATGGGGAACAGCATTGTAGCATGTAATACAAAAGCAAATACAGACATACAGAATTAAGCCCTGCGCTCAAACTCCCACTACTCCTGCGTGGCAATGACCATAAGCTACACCAGTTAACATATTATAATATTATTATTATTATTATTATTATATACAAAGCAGAAACTCCAATTAAACTTAATTTAATTCTAATTTGCAAATTGAGGCTAAAAATAGCCATGTTAGGACTATGGCTGAGTTACAGATTGCTTTTCAGATCAGTTATCTATATCTCAGTTCGGCCATTCAGATTTTAATTAGCTTCATTCAAGAGTTCAGTGAATAACTATGACAGACCTGGGGAGATCCTGAAACATGTAAATAAGACCAAACACAATGAGAACACTAAAAACAATCACACACATAATGATTCCCAGTTAGGGCTTAAACGTCTTTTAATGCATTTACAAAGGACCCTATATAACGAGGCAGGTCCCACCAATAGGGATAGTCCATTCAGACATGAAATGCAGGTTTTAAGGCAATTTATTTGGACCAGGAACTACAAAGGTCCAAATAAATTGCTTTAAGAATTGGAAACTATTGGAGTGCCTTGATCATTTTCTATTTATCCGCTATTTATCCGCTTGGTCCTTTTGGGTACTGGGACTTTTTCAAGAGCACCGTGGATTCCATAGTGAGGAGCTGAGTGCACTTCCAGCTTTGATTATTCATGAAATGCAGGTTTGTCATGTAGCATGATTTTATTGTGTGGCAAATGAGTTGCAAACCGTCCTCCTGATTACCTGCCAATAGCTCTGTCCAGGGGTAGGTTGTCTACCCCTGGTTTAGTCACACATTGTGAGGAGACCTATAATGAATTGGAATGCAAACTCCTATTTATACTCATTGACGTTATACTTGTGATGAATTACAGGGTATTTCTGCCCATACACATGCGGGACTCAGCATAAGGACAGTATTGATAAGGAAACCAGCCAGGCAGTCTGTTGTCCTAGTTGCGCGTGTTTTATGATGACATCTAGTGAAAAAAGTTAATCTGCATACAACAACATTTATAAATGGTGTAACATACTTATACAGTTACTAATGTACCATGAACTCTTAGAGAGTAATTTTCATCCATTATTCCATTTCAGATTAAAACTGCATCACAAGCATGTCCGTTGCAAGGACGATCTTCAAGGGCATTGTATTACTGGAAGTGGCTGGTGTGGTTGGGGCATATGGTGTGTTTCATAAAATGAATTCAAGTCAAGGTAAAAATTGTTGGAATGAAATAGCAACATCATTCAACAAAAATATATATTGTTATAAAATGAATTATAATTTGCCTCTGCAATCTATGATTCTCTGATTTTAACTCTGACAGTTTGTTCTGTTTGATTTAATGCTTCTCTTTACAAGGAATGTTGAAATCCCTGCATTTGAGGCCTAAGTAACAATTTATGGGCATAAAACACACTAAAATACTCAGATTGCAGGTTAGTTATTACATGACGGAAAGTCATGAATTTATTAAAGACACGCAGGCGAATATTGCATATCCCTTTACTGTCCACCAATAGCAGCAGAGATTACAAACCGAAGGGAAAAAATGGTATACATAGTGATCAGCCACTCCCATACCAAGTCCCAGTATAATAGCCAGCAGATCCCATCATATTTCCTCTTTCTTTGGAGATCCGACACACTAACAAAACATCAATCAGGAACCGAAGAATCAGTCCAACCGCATAAGAAACAACTGTCTTGACATCCAGTCGAACTCAAACCAGGAACAAAGCAACAAATTGGGACCAATCCATCATCATCTTGCAAACGCCAAACGTAGAGGATCCCATTATACAACAAGCCATCGGCATTCAGTAAACGAGATTAATTTAGGATGTGAAAACATAAATAAACAGGAGCCATACAGTTATTTCGGTCCTTGCAACTCAGTGCGCATGTAAGGAAGAGAACAGACCCTTCTTAACAGACCTTCATGAACCCAAGAACAGACCTACATTCCAAATGTATAAACCAGAAACCAAATGCCATAATATTCCCACTTACCGTAATACCAACCTCATCCAATAAATATACCAGGGCGGGAAGATATACCCCAATTCAGAAATGTATCCAGGGTGGGAAAATACTTGCCTATGTGTCTTTAATAAAATCATGACTTTTCATCATGTAATAGCAAAATCATGTACTTTTATAATAAGACACGGAGGCTCATATTGCAAGTTCAAAGCTGACTGACAACTGTAGAAAAAACATGAGTCACCTGTCAAAAGTAAAATACACGTATGGGTATGGGAGTGGCTTATCACTATGTATACCATTTTTTCCTTACTATTTGTATTCTTTTCTTCATTCTTGAACTGCATCACACGGAATCCCTTAGAAAAGATGTTTTAAATGTTTCATACGGAAATCTTCTCTCAGTGAAACTTTTTGGATAAGAATAGACGCACAGTGCAATTTGTAAATAAATGTGTTAAGAACAAGGTGGGAGCATTGGGGGGAAAAAACCCTCTATATTAGTACTTGGCACAAGTATAAACTTATGAGAAAACTGAAACTCACGTGAGTTGCTATTCACTATTTAAACAATCTTGATAGTTTCAATGTCGTAGTTAACATTCTGTCTTCCACTAGATTTTAGGTATACCATGAATAGAAGATTTCCCTCTGTCTTAGAAAGTAAGTATCCTTTTATATTTTCCTCCAATTGTTTCCTTTATGGCAATTGTAACGTACTAACTTTGGTTATCTTTGCAGCATGGGCATTTTGGAAAAGCATAGCTGACTAGAGCTGTTATAATCAGCCCTCTTTCAGGCATTCCTTGGCACGTGTCCACTGTTACGATGATCTATGTGCAAAGAAGCAGTCTGCATATAGAGTCAGCATTAGTAAAGTGGTCCGTGGCGGAACGTACCATTCCTTTCGACTGTTTTATCTTTTCATACGTTTGGGAGTTATTTTACCTGAATCCAGTGTATTCGACTCCCAAACAAGGACCACCCCTGTACCTCATTAGAACCTTAACACTAGTGAACATAAGTGCGAAACCGCAAGGGAAATAATGAATACTTCCCTTGTGTGGCCTAGGCAGCGGTTCTTGGTCGTCGCATGCCTGGAACTCTTTCCGGCGAGGCACTTGCACGAACCCCGGCAAAGATTGTACTGCTGCTTGCCCCACTTCCCGACCAGCTATTCGAACGATGTTCGGTAGATGTGAGCTACTGGTAGGGGAGAGCATTTGCTTCCCTGAAACAAAGGGAATCCCTTGTGCAGTGTTCGCACAGGAACCCCAGAACAGAGACCAGTCGTTGCACCTATTTGCCTGGAATTGTTTCGGGCTTTCACCTCGTAGCTGGCCGGTCAGAACCTTACCCTGGTGGGGATGCCGTTCTACCGAATGGATCTGAGCGTTATTTGGTCAAGTTAGGCGCTCAGACCAGGGCTATCCAGAGATATAACTCTTGTGGGGTTCCTGTTCATATTGGAGATACTTTTGGGGGATTGTGTAATATTGTTTCCCTGTAACTGAGATATAATTGAGTTATGGTTTTTGGACTCTTATCTCTTAGACCCAGAGACTCCTGGGGAAAAAACCCTTGTATTTTTGCTGTGGAGACCCTAAATGCCAGGGGTTCGTGCATAAGAGCCATGTGTGGCCAAATAAAAATCAGATGACTCCCAGAACTATGTCTTGTCTAGTCATTCGGGCAATACAAGCTTAATCCTACAACGGTTCCAGTCTGACTGAGAGGAGAAAATAGCTGAAGTAACTAGTCGGGTTACCCGTGGTCCACTACAGGGTCTTAAGGCGTTAGTAGAGATCAGGGATAGACAACCTTTGGCACTCCAGATGTTGTGAACTACGTCTCCCTGTCCAAAATTATGATCAGTGGAATCCCTATTTCATTCTCCCTTTGCCACCACTGGGTTTCCCTGGTTAAGATAAAGTTGTTTTGGTGCATATGTATCCCTTTAAGCAGCCTACAGTTTCTCCTTTTTTGCCTTTTGTTAGTATACTTATTATCTAAAGCTATGAAGAAACATCCTTATTGTTTATCATGTGGTACATATTTTTGATTGTAACTCATTTGCTACTTTTTATGCACAGATTGATAATGGCTGATAGTAACTTTAAACCCTTGAAGTGAACCTGTCATGCGATTTTCAAGTTAACATAAACTGGCCCCAAATGCATTGAATAAGTCACGTATCACAGCGATCCTGCATGAGGTCTTTAATGTAAAGTTATAAGATACACTCTCATTACCTCCTATCCAGATCCACCATGTCCACAACTTAGTTTGTTACAGAAGAATAACTGGTCTGCCTTTACTCCTCCTGTAGTGTTCTGTCATTTGCCTTTCTAGGGGAACATTTCCAAGCAGAGCAAAGCTCCTGTGTGATGCCAACATTCTGGCATCTGAACGGAGTGATGTTCCTATAATTACTAGCCATGACTATCAGATAGGGAGTTAACAGAGCACCTGTGGGAGGCCTTTTCTTTTCTCCTTTGTCAATTTTTTTGGCAAAGAATTTTCTTTCAATCTAAATGTTAGCAAATCTGCAAACACAATGTATAGATAAAATGTGTATACTCTCAATAAAGAACATAAGTTGTCAGTACTGTAAATTGGCTGAAGCATTGCATTAACTTTGTATAAAAGATCTATAACTAAGACTTAAGTCCAAATGTTCTCCTTTTGTGCCTGTATATTTATTTGTACATCATTCTGACTCCAATAACACCTTTGAACAATTCTCAAAATGTAAAGTGCTCTGGATTGGAGCGCTCTATAAGAACTGTTAAATGTATTAACACGATCATGCCTAATTTGTCTTTGTACACAGTGTTCTATAAGTCCAATGAATGGGCTGGGATTTATGGAATACGGGAACTTGATGCAGAAAAATGGTCTGAGATAAAATAGTGAGTTTCTTTGCATGATTGTTTTTTTTAATAGTACTACAAGCCTCTTATTGAATGATGCCCATAACAACTCCCTATTTTTATTTTTCCTACACAGATTTCACGGTTTTGCTGAATACAAACTGAACCAATACGACTTAATTCCTGTGGTTTGCACACAAGACCATGCAATATTTGTATACCTGTGGCTAGCATCTAGCCTTATTACTTGATAATAAAAATGTGAAGTTTTTCCAACATAAATCTAAATTCTCTTTATTTTAAAAACTAGTGGCACTGTAACATTTTGGAGATGTTTTCAGAAATGCTTTGTATAAAATAACAATTTCTTTAGAACACATTAACTTTCTACCAGCAATGCCAAAAAGGTTGTACAAGTAATTCCTTTCCCTTTTATGTTGTTAATGCAGATTTCAAAGATTCAATTGAAAAGATAAGTCATGTTTATTTTAATGTTTGTATAAAATAGATGTCAGGACTGAATTGCAGAAACTATGTATTCTAATACAGGGGTTGGCCAAAGGGTGCTTAGCTGGTAGACTACAACAACTGAAGCTTTGATTGCCAGGCGCCATGGGAGTCTTATTTCTAATTGAATGGTCTACCTTTTGGCTACGGCCATTCATTTGTATTTGCTAACTTTTACAGTCGAAATATACCCCCTTTTCAGTTTTTTTCAGCTTCATTTCGACAAAGGAGTCCAAACTACATAACCATTTTTTTTATACTGCTTTATTTCATAAGGATTAAAAACGAGGCTCTTAAGCCATTGTAATGAAAAATGTACAGTTTATAATTTCTTAAAAACAAGTTTTACAGATCGCTTTGATTGCTGCCTCACATTTTTAAGAGGAAAATGTGTGATATTACTTTATTTATTAAATATCAATATATTTTACAGTGAATAACAAGATAAAAATAGCTGGTAAGAAACAGTTAGACATAACAGAAATAAGGGCAAAAATATGTAGATATAATTAATTACTACACATGTTCTGTCTGGTTCCAATCATTAACCGCTGGGTCTCAGGGTTAATCTCCTTGGCTTCTTTCCCAGATCTACAATATGTGAAGTTATACAGGGGTTCTGTGAAATCACACCCGTTCTGATTTTCAGCTAAGGTTTGTCCCCAAAGGGGGAGACAAGATTGCTGACCAAGCATTCCATCTATCTGATTTACCACAATTTTAACTAGAAGCTCTAATGTATTATTGTTGAATAAGGAAATAAAAATACATGTAAAATTCACAGTCTTTTAAACATGCCAAGTAACAACATATTCACTTTTTTATTAAAGGGACACTATAGTCACCAAAACAACTTTGGCTTAATAAATCATGCCCCTCAATTCTCTGCCATTTGTGATTTAAATCACTTTGTTTATACAGCCTTAGTCACACCCACCTGCATGTGGCTTGCACAGCCTTCCTAAACAGTTCCTGTAAAGAGTCAGCTAATGTTTATCCTTCCTTTAGACTTTATCTCCTGCTCTGTTAATAGCTTGCTAGACCCTGCAGGAGTCTCCTGTATGTTGTTAAAGTTCAATTTACAAAGCAGGAGTTAAAATCTTTTAAGGTAAGTTACATCAGATTGAAAGTGAAACCATTTTATTTTCATGCAGACTATGCGAGTTACAACCAGGAGAGGTATTGCTAGGGCTGCATAAACCGAAACAAAGTGATTTAACTCCTAAATGGCAGTGAATTGAGCAGGGAAACCTCAGAGGCATGATCTATACACAAAAACTGCTTCATTAAGAATGTTTTGGCGACTAATTCTCCTTTAACCCCTTAAGGACCAAACTTCTGGAATAAAAGGGAATCATGACATGTCACACATGTCATGTGTCCTTAAGGGGTTAAAGCGAGAATTCAAAGTGAATTTCAAATCAAAGCCTAGCTGATTCAGAGAATTCGTCAAGATTATTTTGAACCTTAAAGTGAATTTCAAATTTAATCCTCACTTTGGTGAAGACCCTCACTGAGTAGTGATCCTGAGACTGTTAGTCAGCAAGTCTGCAACAGTAAAAATCAAAAGACTGTCTTACCTTAAACTGTACAAGCCACTGTTTTCCAAACAAGCCAGGTAAGAACACACTTTCAAGAGCACTCAGCGGTCGACACTCTCAGATTTACCGCTCTTACCTTATCTCTCTCCTCCCTTTACATTACAGCAGGTCTCTCACAGTTATGGCATCCCTGCTTATTTATTTTCTATTTGGACACACAATTTCAGATTTGCTTTGAATTGAAATGAATTCACACTTTAATGGATAACAGTTTACATGTTAACTGTAGGATATTTTTTTTCTAGCTAAACTATTTCAAATTTAAGGCAGAAATTAGTTTCCAATTTAAGATCTCAACACTGTATAGTGAATAACCCTGAACGGGTTATTTATATCTCATTCGTGCTCCAGCTTTCCAAATATTGATCTTTAAGAAACTCAGATATTGTTTAGTATATACAGACACTTTAAATGGCTCACTGTAAACCCTGTAGCCTGCTATAGTGGTTATGGTGCCAACATGCCCCTGACACCATCCCTCATTTAAGTGTCAAATTAAGGCCTGCTGCCTTGAACCTTGCTTGCTATTTCAGTTATAGTTCCACATTAGCAATATCAATTCAGTCCAAATTTGCACAGAATTAATTGGCTGAGCTGACACACTTAGACAATCCTAGACTTTCCGAGTTGGACAAAAATGCTAACGCAGAACAAGCAAGTGGGCCAATTTCAGGGGCATGCTGGTACCATATTCACATCAAACTGTAGTAGTTATAGTTCACAGAGTACCCTTTCCAATTTTGTTTTTGCATTTTCCATGATTTTCTTAATCTTTTTGTTCATGATGTCTAGTTTCTCCAAAACAAAGATGGGAGAATGGAGAAGTATATCTATATAGTATAGGTAAATATGATAGTATAAAATTGCAGTCACATGAAATTGAGCTTCCATAATGGCTCCTAAAGCGTATCTTGGAGTGGTGCAGTCACCACTCTTAGATAAGTGGTAGAAACAATTCTTCCCCATTTTGTATATATGCAATAGAACAGAGGTAGAAATGCACACTGCAGTATGGGTTAGTGCAAATAAATGGAAAATTACTTTCAGAGGTAGAGAAAAGTGGGTTTTGCTCATTCCATACAGCACAGGTGGTACATTCCCCACCAAGCAAAGTAATGTCCAGAAGGCAGACTGAATAAAAGGCAGGAGGGTCCAGAAGTCTTATACTAACAATTATCTTCATTCTAATATAACAAGAGACAATATAATAAGCACTCCTTTTATAGCAAACAAATAAAATTAAAATTTGTGGTCATATCATGTGACTGCGATAATCCGAACATTTACATGCATTTAAAATCAAGGTATAGACAATATAGCATAAGACACATAAATACAAAAACCCTTCTCTTCTAATAAATAATAACTAATATTACTAATATTTCTAACACTCCAGATTCATTAAAAATCCATTTGTTAATCAAATATCAAGACATGTGTAAAAGAAACTTCATCTATTACAAATAGTATGTCCATAAAAATCACTAAAAAAAAAGTCCAGACCTTATTCAAAATACTCGGCTTCCCGAGTCAGCAAGATGTGTAGTGCTGAAAAATATCAAATAATGGTCCTCTTTGAAGTAAAAGTGATGGCTGATATCGATGGGAGTCAGACCTCTCCAGACGCGTTTCTCCGCTTTGGCGGCTTTCTCAATGGATGCGCTCTGTCTCTTAGTGTTCATATTTATAGTATCTGCCGGCTTTCTTTTAATCACAGCAAATTCCGAATCAGCAATGTATGTTGCAAAATCCAACTATTCTCTATATAACTAAACAGTCATATTGTATCAAAAGCTCTATAAAGTTACTACTTATTATTTCGTTCTGCACAATATATTTCTATTCTGTATTTACTGCCGTTACTATAGTAACACCCGCTCGAGCAGGTTTAAATATAACTGCCGTTTTCAACTGGTTAAACAGGGGAAGAAAATAGGATGAAAAGAAGTTTATTATAAAAGAAATTTCTTCCTTTAGATCTTCTGCTATGCTCATTTAAATATAAATAATTACTATATTCCAGCTCAAAACAGTACTTTCGATGTGAAAAAAAAAATTGTGAAAAAATTGTGACGGCAGTATATAAATTCAGGTCTTAATACATATGCTGCCACTATTTCGTATAAATTCATTACAATATGAACCTCAAAGTGTATTAGCTGTGCAATGTATTATATAGTATATTCAACTAAAAAAGGACCCTCCCTATATTATTCAGGGTAAGGTAGAACTTAATAAAAATGATGAAAGCTAAAAATAGCAATCTTAATAGAATCACTCCAGATTCATTTCTTAAAAAGCAAAAAAATGAAAAAAAAATAAATAAAATTTGTTCCACCATTATAAGAAAAAAGTTATCCCAAAAAATGACAGAGCTCAAACTCAGCATTTAATCCCTTAGGCTGCAACGTATCTAATTTATATATCCATTTCATCTCGGTAATGCCCAATTGTTTATTGTGATCTCCCCCTCTCCAATTTCTATTTACTTTACATATTCCCTTAAAATTCAAAAGGCTCATGTCTGAATTGTGGTGTTGTTTAAAATGGGCTGAAACCGAGTGCTGCATATAACCATTCTTTATGTTCAGCATATGCTCTCTAATTCCAACATACATTTGCCTCTTGGTTCTTCCTACATACTGGAGTCCACACGGACACTCCAGTACATAGATCACGTTCGTACTATGACAGGTGACATGTTCTTTTATTTTAAAAGATTCCTTCTCTTTCTTGCAATTCTTTTTCATGACTTCAAATACTCCTTTTGTTTGTTTATTCTTGCTTGTTTTGCATGCAATGCAATCTAAACAATAGAAGAAACCATTCTTTTTTATTTTAGTTGTATCCTTCCTCTTAGGTGTTTGTTATTTTCCTTCTTAAATTAGGTGCACCCCTAAAAATAATTTTAGGTCTTTCTGGTAAGCTACTAGCAATAATTTTATCTTTTTTCAATAGATGCCAGTGTTTTGTAAGTATTCTTTTTAATTGTGCATTTTCTTTGTTGTAGTTTAAGATAATCGCTGGAAATTTTTCTTCTTGTCTTGTTGTTTGTAGTTTCTCTCTATTCTTTAAAATATTTGTACAATCTAAATTCTCTACTCTACACAAAGCATCCTCTGTTTCGTTGTATTGATAGTTTTTCGACAGGAATTTATTCTTTACTATTTCTGCTTGTTCCCCATATACTTCAAAGTCTGCACAGTTTAGTCTCAGACGCCTAAATTCGTAAGGTACGTTTTTGAGCCGTGTAGGTAAGTGACAGCTCTCTGTAAGGATGAAGCTGTTCACATCTACTTCTTTAAAATGCGTTTTTCGTTTTAACTTTACCGGAATCTATATAAATGATAAGATCAAGGAATTCTACCTGTGTTTTACTACAAGTAGTATTCAGTTTAACTCCCCAGGTATTCTTATTTACGTATTCTAGAAATTCTTGCAGGTCTACTATTTCACCTTCCCATATGAAGAAAACATCATCGATGTATCTTTTATATCTGTGGATATTCATATTCCAGGGATGTACATTCCAAATGTGATTGTCCTCCCAATCCCCCATAAACAGGTTAGCAAAACTGGGGACAAATTTTGTCCCCATAGCAGTTCCCTTCTTCTGGAGGTAAAACTGATCTTCAAATAGGAAATAGTTGTTCTTCAAAATAAACGCAGTCCCTTCTATTATAAATGAAATTTGGGTATCTTCCAGTTCCCCATATTTCTTTAATGAGTTCCTCATGGAGTCACAACCTTGTTGATGATCAATAATCGTGTATAGGGAGGTCACGTCTGTAGATACTAGAATATAGTTATCTTGCCAGGAGATGGAATCCAGTTCTTTAATCATCTGTGTCGTGTCCTTAAGATGAGACTTGACCTTAGACACATATGGTTGCAGAAATGTATCGATGTACTGTGACAGATTTGATGTAATTGAATTAATCCCTGATATTATTGGCCGACCAGGGGGTGCTGTCATGTCTTTGTGGATTTTGGGTAAAAAGTAAAAGGTAGGGGTTTTTGGAAAGGGGATAGCGAGAAATCTGTATTCGGACTCTTTCAAGATCCCCATACCTTTAGCGTTATCCAACATAACTTCAAGTTCCATCATAATTCCACTTAATAAATCAGTGGATAATTTCCCGTAAATTTCGGGTTCTTCTAATAATCTGGTTGCTTCTTTTAGATAGTATTCACTCGACATGATAACTATTCCCCCACCTTTATCCGCTGGTTTGATACAGATCTTTCATTATTAGTTAGATCCTTTATTGCTTCTCTTTCTTTACTGGTTAAGTTATTCCTTAAATAGTTATTCTTTTTCATTTTCCTTATGTCATCAATTACTAATTCCTCATACATCTCCATCCCAGCAGAAACTTGATTTATAGGATAAAAAGTAGAGGTTGGTTTCAACTGACTATGTTTCAAAACGCTCACAGGCTCTTCTTTTGCTGGAAAGTCTGGAATCTGTTCAAAGTGTTTTTTGATGCTTAGTTTTCTTATGAACCTTTTTACATCAATAGTTGCCTCAAATTTGTTCACATGCGCTGTGGGTGCAAATTTTAATTAAGGAAGGGGTGCACCTAATTTAAGAAGGAAAATAACAAAAACACCTAAGAGGAAGGAAGGATACAACTAAAATAAAAAAGAATGAAAAAGAATTGCAAGAAAGAGACGGAATCTTTTAAAATAAAAGAACATGTCACCTGTCATTGTACTAACGTGATCTATGTACTGGAGTGTCCGTGTGGACTCCAGTATGTAGGAAGAACCAAGAGGCAAATGTATGTTAGAATTAGAGAGCATATGCTGAACATAAAGAATGGTTATATGCAGCACTCGGTTTCAGCCCATTTTAAACAACAACACAATTCAGACATGAGCCTTTTGAATTTTAAGGGAATATGTAAAGTAAATAGAAATTGGAGAGGGGGAGATCACAATAAACAATTGGGCATTACCGAGATGAAATGGATATATAAATTAGATACGTTGCAGCCTAAGGGATTAAATGCTGAGTTTGAGCTCTGTCATTTTTTGGGATAACTTTTTTCTTATAATGGTGGTACAAATTTTTTTTTTTTTTTTTTTGCTTTTTAAGGAATGAATCTGGAGTGATTCTATTAAGATTGCTATTTTTAGCTTTCATCATTTTTAAGATCTACCTTACCCTGAATAATATAGGGAGGGTCCTTTTTTAGTTGAATATACTATATAATACATTGCACAGCTAATACACTTTGAGGTCCTTAGTTCATATTGTAATGAATTTATACGAAATAGTGGCAGCATATGTATTAAGACCTGAATTTATATACTGCCGTCACAATTTTTTCACATCGAAAGTACTGTTTTGAGCTGGAATATAGTAATTATTTATATTTAAATGAGCATAGCAGAAGATCTAAAGGAAGAAATTTCTTTTATAATAAACTTCTTTTCATCCTATTTTCTTCCCCTGTTTAACCAGTTGAAAACGGCAGTTATATTTAAACCTGCTCGAGCGGGTGTTACTATAGTAACGGCAGTAAATACAGAATAGAAATATATTGTGCAGAACGAAATAATAAGTAGTAACTTTATAGAGCTTTTGATACAATATGACTGTTTAGTTATATAGAGAAAAGTTGGATTTTGCAAAATACATTGCTGATTCGGAATTTGCTGTGATTTGAAAGAAATCTGGCAGATACTATAAAAATGAACACTAAGAGACAGAGCGCATCCATTGAGAAAGCCGCCGAAGCGGAGAAACGCGTCTGGAGAGGTCTGACTCCCATCGATATCCGCCATCACTTTTACTTCAAAGAGGACCATTATTTGATATTTTTCAGCACTGCACATCTTGCTGACTCGGGACGCCGAGTATTTTGAATAAGGTCTGGACTTTTTTTTTTTTTAGTGATTTTTATGGACATACTATTTGTAATAGATGAAGTTTCTTTTACACATGTCTTGATATTTGATTAATTAATAAATTGAATTTTAATGAATCTGGAGTGTGTTAGAAAGGTCATAGACCTATTAGTTATTATTTATTAGAAGAGAACGGTTTATGTATTTATGTGTTTTATATTGTATAGGTTGTTAGGTTCCCTATTTTTTTACCCTATTCTCATCTATTTCTATTTAATCAGCGCTCCACTATCTGCACTTTTTCCAATATAGCATAAGAGACTTTATAGGTACACTCGTGTGTAAAAACTAGCATTAACAAGTTAAACATAATTTTATAAAAAGGTGTTCCAAGATGGTGCTGGGTCAAAAGTCACGATTCAGACACCATATATGCTGTGATACTGGAATCATACAACAAGAGGAGCCAGAACTAAAACAATCTGTATTAAAATAATGGCTAGAAAATTAGAATTAAGACAGGAGGGAGTACTAAGATGGCGCTGATGCGTTCACGTGATCGTGCATCATCGTGTAGAGGCAAACAAATAAAAATTATGTTTGGCAAAATGCTCTATGTCTGGGAAGTTAAAAAAAGCTGTTGAACATAAAAATAGAGAATTAGGGCTAAAAAATAAGCAGAGTAAGCTGTACGATTTCTCCAATATGACGTTTAAACCATAGATTGCTGGTCATGTGATGCACATATTAGCTAAAAATAAATAAAAACTTTGATCAGGAAAGGACTACTCCAAAATGGCAGCTAAGTACAGATTGCTGGTCACATGATCCCTGCGATGCAAATGAAGGGACAAAAGGTAAACACTTGAAATATACAGGTAATACCAGGAGATATGAATATTAGAAGTGGAGTGCATATATAGGTAATGCAAGAGGTAATAAACAAGAGGACGAATAGACAAAGAGAGAGAGAGAGAGCTCCACTTCTCCATACCAAAATGCGCGTTGGGCATCTTTCTAACTAATGCGGATGATTTTATCTTAGGACTATAGAACATTCTCTAGTTGATCTCTCTCTTTAATTAGAGAGCCTCGTGGGGGGATTGGATTTAGTTATTATTTTCTTCAGCCTTAATCTCATTTCAGGGACACCCTTCCCCCAAATCTCCTATAGCATTATAGCACGTCTGCTCTCTTAAGGCTCCAATATTTGGCTACCTTTATTCACACATGTACATTGAGTATCAGTCTGTGATTATTTGGATATGCTTGGTCTTTGGTCACACTAACTGCCTATTTCTCCGGGACATATTCTCGGTAATAAGAAGCATCATGGCTATTTAGTTGTTATACCTTTAGACCATTACTATAGCCCTTTCTTTTTTGGGTTTTGATTTGACTTTAATTTTACAGTCTATCGTGTTATTCATCAAATCTGTGTACTACCCCCCTATCTTAACGGGGGATACATTTACTTATGAATTGGTATCTCTCTCTATACAAGGGTATTTTAATAGCGGCTTGATCTCTCGGTTCAACATCCGGGGATCACTACTCTATTACTATACTATCGCCACATATACCCATTTGTCTAACACTAGTCCATTATATCCCCTCTTAATCCCTGGGATCATTTACACAGACTGTCTACATTTTTTTTGCAACAATTTGCAATGTATTATTTAGATACAGTCATTTATTTTGATCATTATTTTGGATTAGTCACTATGAGAAATCGCATGGTCCTATTTTACTGTGTTTGTTTGTTTGTTATTTAATTTCTTTTTACACACAAGTGTACCTATACAGTTTACAAACTGTTTTTTATGCAATATTGTCCAACCTTGATATGAAATGTATGTAAATGTTCTGTGTTTCGTGGTCACGTGATGATGTCAATGACCACAAATGTCAATTTATTTTTGTTTGCAATAAAAAAAAAGTGTTTGTCCAGCTTGGTGTAACACTTTGATACCAATTTTCATGGTGAAACGTGTTAGTGTTGCATTTATACTGAATTGTATAGTGGTTTTTAAATAAGAATAAAAATAGATTATTAATTTTTCTGGACTTTCCTGCTTTTTATTCAGTCTGCCTTTTGGACATCACTTTCCTTGGCAGGGAATGTACCACCTATTCTGTGTGGAATCAGTGAAATCTACTTTCCTCTACATCTGTTAGTAGCTTTCCACTATTTGCACAAAGCCATACCACGGTGTGCACTCTTTTTACCTCTGTTCTATTGCATATATACACACAGCACCGAGAAAAATTGTGTCTACTAGCTATAATAGAGTGGCGACTGTACCATTCCACACTACACTTTAGGAGCCATTATCGAGCTCAAGTGCTAAACCGTTCTATATACATCTATATTGAGCTGTGCTTCCAGCTTGCAGCTGTCCCTTTAACCATACAAGGAGCAAACTCGTACCAACCTAATAAAAAGCTTAAAATCTTACATTGCTTTCAGGGGTACTATTTTAAATTGGACAATAACTTACACTTTTAGAAAATCTTAGAAAATACATTAAAAGGGACTATATAGGCACCCAGACCACTTCAGCTCATTGACGTGGTCTGGGTGCATGTTCCTAGGCTCCTTAACTATGGAAAGGTAATTATTTCAGTTTTTAATTAACTGCAATAATTACCTGTGTGGTAGACAGCCACTAGAGGGACTTCTGGGTCGTAACCGACGCCAGATGTCCTCACGCATAAGTAGCATCACCCAAAACCCCATAGGAAAGCCCCTATGGGGCCTGACGTCGGCAGGGGGAAGGCGGACCCCAAGCCAGCGCTAAGGGACATTGGTGCTGAATTCCGGTAATTGATGAAGGGATTTTTAACTCCTTCTGCACCATTGGGCAAACGGGGACACTAGAGGGTCAGGAAATTTTTTTCCTGGCACTATAGTTCTCCTTTATTAAATCAGATCAGTGATAATCACATTATCGATGGATTTGATTTTTATAGTGCCATTTACATAGTGTACAATTTAGCACAATCCGATAAAGACCATAATAATCTCTTAACATGAAGCAGACAATAACAAAGTGATACTGTTCATTTTTGCATTACAATTCAATCATTACAATTTCTTTGCTCTCCAACTGCTTAGACGGTTCTTGAATAAAGGAACGATTGTTTATCAAAATATTCATTTAGTTTGCTAGCTGTAGGTCTTTTTTTGGGATCCTTAGACAACATTAACCTGATGTAGGATTCCTGGAACACAAACAAATCTAAAATCAGTGGCATGATAAATATTCTATTTCACAGCCTGTGTTTTTGCTCTGTAATCCGAATGTACATCAGTATCGCCTGAGGCGCACAATTTTTATCCAATTTCCCCAGCACATTTCTCTTTTGCACAAATAGTTTCTCATCATTCTCTAACATCCTTCTCTCTCTACCCCTTTTTTTCCTTTCACAAGTGTTGCTTTTGAAAATGAAAAATTTTCTTTTTTCGCGCATGCCAATTCTTCTATGCTTGTTCTTTTCTTTCTCACCTCATCCCTCCTCTGTTTGTAACATTTCTTCCTGTCTTAGGAAGAAATCAAGATACTGTGTACACAGGAACAGGGGTATATATAGCAGAAGATGGACTATGGGACATGGAACTTCACTAATTTAATAGACAGTAATAGAGGGGAATATGAGATGTATTTCTCTGTAAACAGCAATAGATACTCTACATCTCTTTATTAACAGGTTCGTGAAATTATGTAATTTCTGGCACTCTGCAGCTTATTGTGATGTTGATGTTGCCAGATATTCCGTGACAGCTTCTCATTTTAACAATTAGCTGGATCAACCCGGCCATCTGTGCTGTTTCAGGTCTTCTCGGTATAGCTAAAGCAGAAATTAGCATTTACTTTACCACTATGAATTTTGTGCAGCTGTTCGCTTTATCATTGGTTGAGGACAATTTGAAAAAATTTACAAAAGTAATACAGTGGAATGAGAACTTCCACCATGGCTATATTAAGAGGTCCTGGAAGCAATGCACGTGCAAAAGGTGAACCAGATTAGTGTCAAACCATCCAAGACGTTTTGATTACTTAGTGTTAGCCAATGAATGAAGGGTGGGATCACCATCCAGCTTTTGTCTGAGTGTCATGTGAGCGTTTTAAGGAATTAACCTATGTGCCAAGAGTATGCACAGAATTAACATTGGCCAGCCCCGACCTCTCATACCAGGCTAATGAAGGCTGCCGAATGAGAAGTTACATCACAGCAATATAAAATATCTAGGTATATGCACTTTTTAATGCTGCACATACAGGGTTCTTGCTTTATTCTATATAGCTAAAATTGTAATATAGTACTGATAAAAGTGGTAATAACAAACACAGGAAAGCAGCCCATTTGTTAATTTTGATATGTCCGCAGTTTAGTAGATGGTCCCCTAATTTGGTTTCCTTGTGTGGAATTGCCATATAAAAGGATACTAAATTAGTTAGCGCTCTTCTAATCAGTTAAAAGACCAAAATTAAGAAAAACTTTACTTATCCTTATGCCCCTTTAATTTACCATTCATGCCATGTACCTTCTCCCCTTGCCCCTTCCTCTACTTATCCATGTCACCTTTCCCCATGTCCCTTAAAATTAAAATAACCATAGTAATGTGGCTAATTTATTCAAACCTATATATTATACTCATTGTTAATGTACATCCAACTTGTCTATTCTTTCAGGGGTCCAGGGGACCAAACGCCCTAAAGGAAAATGGCCTTACTCCCCTATCCGTCTTATTTCTAG